TTGTGGTGTCCCTGCTTCTGAGCAGTAGGCATGGGTTTAGGTCCCACCTACTCCAGAGATTTATAACAACATCTCTGAACAGGGTAATTAGAAAATAATTATAAGATTCTGCTCATTGAGTTGAAGCCCTCTCAAGTGAATATAAATGATCCCATTATGTGATTTTGAAAGGGGCTCCCCCGTCCTACTGTCCACATTAATGGATATTTCTCCCTTAAATCATTGAAACAGATTAAAATATTGCTCTTTGTTTGAGCTTGCTGTGTACAAATTAATTGCCTTGCTTTCTGCATTACAGCTTTGATTGCACTTCAAGAGTATAAGAGTGCTATGGTAGGATTTAAACCCCTGTCCTGAGAATATTACCTGGGTTTCTGGATATAGTCCTGGAAAATGCTCTGATACCATTGCCTCACCTCCAGGTCTTTTCCTCCCAAGACTGTCACTGACTGCACACCCTGTCCAAATAATTTTCCATTGCAGTTAGTCTCTGGAAAATGGCAATAATCCGAAGAAATGCAGCTCATGGTGGACACCAGTGCCATGCTGTGCCTGGTCACCAGGTACCCAAACATACAGAACCTCCAATGTCCCTTTTTACCGTTTCCACCCGTTCCAAGCCTCCCCACCCCCATGGAGTCATGCCACATTGAACTTTGCCTCTAAACATCCTCCATGCCCCACGAACCACATTACACAGTAAAGAAGCCCACCCTGCTCTTCTATGCTCCCATACTGGAAGCTACAGTGATAGTCACTGCTCATAACCCGTCCTTTCCCACCCGTGGACTACCATTCCCTCTAATGCAGCTCTGCATTATCCTTCACACACCATGAGTTTACTCTGTCATCATTCTTGTTCCTACCTGTACAAAACCCTCTGCTTTCCTCATGCCTCTATTTCCCCACAGCCTGACTTACCCATCCCTCTGGCAGTGATCCCCTGCTATTCTACGAATCCCTTTTGCATCCCCTTAATAATTAATGGATGGACTATATTCAATCCAACTTCTGACCGATTGTGACAGCCAGCTCCTACTCATGAACTATCAGACTCCTGACTGCTGTGTTTGCAGCTCTCTGACTGATGATATGCAATTCTGGTGACTCCTACTGCTGTCACAAGAGGACTGATCATTGCCCATTCCCTGGAATACAACCAGACAGGTTTGAGTTTGAGTTGAGTTTGCGTTTTATTTATTGATGTAACATGTACCGAGATACTGCGAAAAGTGTTATCTTGAGTTCTCTACAGGTAGCGAACAAAGTACATCTGGATGGCAGGGCAGAGTGCAGAATACAGTGTTACAGCTGCAGAAAAGGTGCAGAGAAAGAGATTGGAATTAACTTTGAGAGGTCCATTCAAAGTCTGATAACTTCGAGGAAGAAACTGTTCTTGAATCTATTTATTGTTCACTTGCATTCTAACTGGATGACAGACCATGGCCAAGCCCCTGAACTGTGTGCAGGATGTGCAGAGACTGACTAACTACTGGGATGCTCTGAGCAACATTGCCCTCCCTCTCGACTGGACTAGACCGAGGACTAGACTCCACCCACTTAACGACAGGGTCATTTGATTGAATACATGAGCTGTAAGTGTTGGATTGATTTCTTTGTGCGCCATACAGCAAGATGTTGCTCCACCTGGAGAGACAAGTCATCCATCCGTGTGTCTCCACAAAGTAGCACATCAATACAGTAGTACTGATAACCTTTAAATCTGGCTGATGTGCCAATGTTAACGCAAGGCATGGATGCTGCGAGCATGCGAGTAGGTGCTAATTTAGTGAGCACTAAAATAGCAAATTAGCAGCGCCGAGATGCAGTCTGACCTAATTCATGAGTTAGGTGTCTGTGTCTGCATGTAAGGTGTCATTGCATTGCCTGGTGGACCAGTAATAAACTTAATGCTGGTCCACCAGGCAATGCAAGTTTGTACTTCCTAAGTGGGCTGCATGTGTATCAGAGAGGTGCCATTATAGTTGAGAGGATGGAAAATGTCTGTGGATAAGGGGTGAATGTGGCTGGTAGCCATGGATCATGCCCTGAGATACTGTTTTTTTAATTCATTCATTCACGGGATGAGAGGCATCGCTAGCTAGGCAGCATTTATTGCTCATTCCTAATTACCCAGATGGCAGTTAAGAGTCAACCGCATTGCTGTGGGTCTGGAATCACATGTAGGCCAGACCAGGTAAGGATTCCTTCCCCAAAGGACATTAGTGACCCCGATGGGGTTTTCCAACAATCGACAATGGAATCACGGTCATCATTAGATTCTTAATTCCAGATATTTATTGAATTCAAATTCCACCATCTGCCGTGGTGGAATTCGAACCCAGATACCCAGAATGTTATCTGGGTCTCTGGATTAACAGTCCAGTGATAATACCATTTGGCCATCACCTCCCCCATGGTTTGGTACTGATCAACATGGAAGATCCTGACAATCAGCAATGAATTGAAGTCGCCAGGTTGCCAGGAAGTCGATTTAATTTCAATTTTGAGACATCTAGCTTGTTTCACACATTTGGTAAGACAGGAATATTAATGATGTCAAGTTAGGGTGTTTATAAGGGGCTTAACAAGCCAATACATCCTGTAGTTGGCAACTTGCTGCTGCTGAGCAAGAAATGAAATCAGCTGCTCAGCAAATGCATAAAAGAGACAGTGGTACACTTCTGACATCGAGATTGGCCTCACTGAATATCTCGCTTGATTCTGCAACAAATCTTGCCATAGCCCATGTCACTCAGGCACCTATAAGATTCTGTAGAATTGTTGAAAGAGACTATTCAGTTTGTTGAGTCTATGCTAGTTCTTTATATGAGATACACAACTATTCACAATTCCTTGAGTTTTCACCATTCCTACACTTTTTTCGGTTGCTTGTCCAATCCTCCATTGAAAGTCATGTTTGAATCTGCTGGCACTACATTCGCAGGTAGTTTATTTCAGACCCTAATTACTCGCTACATAACAAAGAATTTCCTCACATCTTTTAGGGTTATGTGTAGTTCTTTTGCCAACCACCTTAAATTGGTGTCCCCCTGGTTTGTGAACCTTTTTCCAATGGGCAGGTTTCTCTTTATGTCCTCTCTCCCAACTCTTAATGATTTTGAATAGTTCTACATAATCACCTCGCTATCTTTTCTTGAAAGAGAACAGCTCACTTTCAAGAGTCTATCCACAGAACTAAAGTCCTGATCCCCAGGACAACTCTTGCAAATATTTTTTGCGTTGTCTTTGATGTCTTCTCATTTTTTTCTCAAACTCAGTGCCCAGAATTATGGATGTTTGCTGATAATTGCACTTTGTTCAACACCATTCATGACTGCTCCAATACTAAAGGACTCTGTGTTCAAATGCGTCAATACTTGAAAAGCATTCATGGCTAATAAATAGCGAGTAACATGCGCACAACACAAGTGTCAGTTAATAAACATCTCCAACTAAAGAGAATCCAACTATCACCCCTAAACATTTAATGGTATTACCATCACAGAATCCCACACTATGAACATCCTGGCAGTTACCAATGATGAGAAACTGAACTGGACTAGCCGTATAAATACTTTGTCTACAATAACAGGTCAGAGACTTGGAATTCTGCAACGAGTAACGTCTCCTGACTCATTATAGTCTGTCCACCATTCACAAGTTGCAAGTTAGGGGTGTGATGGAATAGTCTGCACTTATTCAGACGAGTCCAATTCCCAACAACTCTCAAGAGGCTCCTCACTATCCAGCACAATGCAACCCAATTTAATGGCATCTCATAGCTTCAATATTCACTCCCTCTACCATCAACATGCCGGGGTAGCAGCACTGTTAACAACTCAAAAAGGCTCCCCCAACAGTACTTTGCAAACCTACAACCTCAACCACTAGACAAACAAAGTAAGCAGATGCATGGGAACAACAAAACCTCTAAGCCATTAACCATCTTGTTTTGAAACTAAACTATCATTCCTTTTGTGTCACTGGATCAAATTACCAAATTCTCTCCCTAACATTACTGTGAGTGGACCTACACCTCATAGCCTGCAGCCCTTTAGGAAGGCAGCTCACCACCAACCTCTCTAGGGCAATTAAGAGATGGGTTAAAAGCGCTGGCTAAGTCAATGATGCCCACATATCATGAATAAATCAAAGAAAGAAAATACGTCACATAGTACCTCAATCAACATCCTTTCTTCCCCAGCACTTCAATGCCTCATTCCCACCATTGCATAAATGCTGCCCCCTCCACACTTCACATCAGCTCTGATGAGAGTCATCTAAACTCGAAACATTAGCTTGCTTTCTCTCCATGGATGCTGCCTGACCCGCTGTGATCTCCAGCATTTTTTGCTTTCTGTAAAGTTCCATTCAAGGTGTGTCCCCTTTGCCTGAAATGGTTCAACGTAAAAATTTACTTAACCACAATAGAAGGAAACTTGCATTTTGAAAACAAAACTAGGGACAGATGAAAACTTGACCAATCTTTACTAATTACAGTCTGGGGAAGCTAATATGAGGATTTTATTTAAATATCAAAATAATGTGATGTAGACAGCAAAACAGGCCTTTTGGAACGTCTATGTGTACGCACTAGTAATCCAATACAAAGTTATGTGTTATATTACTAATTTAAACGAATAATGATTGACGTGTCCACACACATCCCCACAAATTTTATTTCCTCCTTGGATGAGTGAATAGAATAGCCCTACGTGTCTCTCCTTGGTACCTTTCGCTTACATTGGTTTGAGGTTGCTATTCCCTCTTTGTGGTTAAGAATTCACAACATCCTCCAATTTAACAGACATATAACCTGCGCTATGTGCCAAGCCAGTATAACATTGCAAGCACTACCATGTCTCAACTTCACCTTCACTCTCACCCACCTCGTGGGCGATTGCAATTTGAGCGGTTGCCGAGCAGCAGGCTGGCGTCACGTGACAACGCAGTCCAATCAGCGCCTGTTAATCGTCGAATGATGTTTGTGTGACAGGAGGCGGCCACGTTCCAATCCGTGCAGCGGGGTTCGGGTTGTACTAATCCCATCCCGGCAGGTACGTGCACTGAATACTTTCCGTACGTCTTTTGCAATTTGTCAAATAAAGCCCACATTCTGAACATCCAGTAAAATTTAGGTATTACAGCTTGCGCACAGGGAAAGCAAACTGGAAATACACTCCTATTATGGAACAATGGGATTGACTTGTTGCTAAACAGAAAGTTCATGAGGGAATGACTATTGAACTGAGTCTGGGTTCTAAAACCGGGAAGCGGGCATTTTAATGATTGAGATTCCTAACCTGTGGTAATTTCTATACTTATCGTGCTTCTCTTTTCTTGATGGTGACAGTTTAAAAACTTCTCTGATGATTTATTTTACTGTGAACTATCACGTATTCCGGGCTCAAGACTTTACTATGTTCAGTACTTGCCTCATTTATGCTCTGTTTTATGCTGGTGGACATCCTAATCATTTGCATTAATTTAAATAAAAACCGATAGTGCAACTGCACTCTTAATATCATTAAAATATCAGAACCCGGTAGACCGTATTCTACAGCTGACCATAATAACTTGCAGCTGATATTTCGTCATCTCCTTCTGCCTCACCATATTCATTTAGGTTATAGTTCTTGGCGCCAGTGGTCAAATAATCACAACGTGTAGCGTTATCAATGAACAAACATGGATAATATGGTGTCAGTCAAGCAAATAAAATCAGTGTAAGGTTCTGAAAAGGTTAATGCTGAGGCATGCCATAAGCACCACCCATAATGATGGCATACAGACTTGATGGGGGCGAAGCATAGTATCTTGAAGAAATAAAGCCTCTAATTGTTTGTTATGGGTGTTGTCAATGTCTGTCACAGTTATGTAAATTGTACCTAGTTACTATCATGTAATAAGCAACATCTTATCTATGAACCAGAGCATCATCTAATTACATTATTAGGGACTTTTCTTCAACTTCACCAGATCAAGCAGGCCATGTAGATCCTCTCTAGGAAAGATTTGTTGTCACCATCCTCTATTGCTTTGTGAGCAGTAGTACAGAAGGGTCATACAATATAATGAACAGTGGTGTGGGTTGTTCATACAATGATCTCTTCCACTTTGTAAATAGCAGAAAGAATAAAAATTTTAAAAGCATATTATCTAAATGTTGAGAGTTCATAGCTCTGAGATGCAGAGGGAACAGGGTGTCCTTGTGAATCAAGTACAAAAGGGAAAAGTCACCATTGTCCCAGAGGACTATAGTGCTGCTCTTGCATTAGTGAGAGATGACTGGTGATGAGTTTAACCTGAGAATCGGCATGCCTCAGACAAGGTGCAAAGTTGAAAGATGGGACCTTCATGATGACCTCAGCCAGTACAAGAATTGCATCCACACTGGTGGCGACTCTCTTCTTGTCTGTTTACCCTATTCATGCCCCTCATGATTTTATAAACCTTTAAAAGATTACCCCTCAGCCTCTGATGCTCCAGGGCAAAAAGCCCCAGCCTATTCAATCTCTCCTTATAGTTTAAACCCTCCAAATCCGGCAACATCCCTGTAAATCTTTTCTGAACCCTTTCATGTTTAACAACACCTTTCCTATAGCAAGGAGACCAGAATTGAACACAGCATTCTAAAATATTTCATGAATATTTTTCAAGTCGAGTTAAGTAGATTCTTCTTAAGCAAGGGTGTGAAATGTTATTTGGTGTTGGTAGGAATATAGATTTGAAGTTACAATCAGATCAGCCATGGTCTAATTGAATGGCAGAGCTGGCTGTAGCCTCCTTCTAATTTGTATGATCAGAAAGCATTTTAATATTGATGAGCTGCCTTGTAATTTTTACTTCCGTTATACACGTCTTCCTGCACACAAAGCATATTAATGCACTTCTGCTTTTATAGATTTTTTTTCATATTGTCTTGTCATATTCTATTTAAATACCTTATTGTTAATACTATATTTTACAGAAAAAGAAAGAACATAGCCTGATAACTGGAAATGTTTTTTTCTGGAGAAATATAATTACAGATATTGTGGTAAAGTTTTCAGAATGCAATATCCCGCACTGGGAGCTAGGAATGGAGATGGAGAATAGCTTTAGTGTTTGAATGGGGCATTAATATGGAAAAATCAAACTACATATTTTACTTATTTTCAGTTTAATTTAATTCACAGAATCACAGAGTCATATAGTGTGGAAACAGACACTTCGGTTCAACTAGTTCATGCTGACCATGTTCCTGAACTAATTTAGTCCCATCTGCCTGTGTTTGGCCCATATCCCTCCAAATGTTTCCTTTTCGAGCATGTATCCAAATATCTTTTAAATGTTGTAACTGTACCTGCATCCATCACTTCCTCTGACAGTTCATTCTACACACTAATGACTCTGTAAAAAAAAAAAAATTTGCCTCTCATGTCTTTTTAAAATCTTTCTCCTCTCTCACCATAAAAATATGCACCCTAGTTTTGAACTCACCCAATCTAAGGAAAAGACCTTTGCTATTCACCTTATCTCATGATTTTAGAAACTTCTATAAGATAACACCTAAATCTCCTATGCTCTAGTGAAAAATGTCCCAGCCTATCCAGCCTATTTTTATAATTCAAACCTCTATTTTTGGCAACATCCTGATAAATGTTTTTTGAATCCCCTCCAATTTAGTAATATCCTTCCTATAACAGGTGTAGTTTTCTACAGTAGAATTGTTCAAACTCATTTATTTAGGACATTAACTGGATGGGTTGGTGTGAGTTTGTAATAAGTTGATTATATTGAGTGTCACTGTTTCTTGGAACAGTTTGGCTATTGTCTATGCATAAATTGGAACGGAGTAGTACAGTATTTGATTGACCTCAAATCGGAAGAGAGATCGTTAAATTTATAAAAGACAAGTAGAGTGAGAGTATAATCTCGTAGGGAGTTCAGTACTAAGGTTCAAGTGCAGAGGGTTTATATTTTTTCTGTAATTCATACTAGGTGTAAGTGGAATTTTATCATTGCAATTTAAAATATTTCTTCATGGGAAGTGAGCATTTCTGGTTAGACCAACGTTAATTGCCCATTCTTAATTACCCTACAACTGAATGGCTTGCTTGGGCATTTCAGAGAACAATTAAGACTAAACCACATTGCTGTGGGTCTGGAGTCACATTTAGGCCAGATGTACTAAGGATGGCAGATTTTCTTCCCTAAAAGACATTGGGGAACCAGATGGGTTTTTGCAACAATCACCGTGGTTACATGGTCATATGAGATCGGTTTTTAATTGAAGATTTCATTTAATTTAAACCAACTTTCCTAAAACAGTCTGGCATTCTGGATTACCAGACAAGTGCCATTATCATTGTGCCACTGACTTCCCAGTGAACGTTCATGTTCACACTGTACTTTTCTAAATTGGATACAGATTATTGGCAAGTAGACCATTTTATATAATGTGTTAACAATTAAGTCTCTACTACAAAGGATCTCTGTGCTCAAGTGGCAATTAACCACACTCCACAGCATTAGACAGGATGTGGGTTCATGCTCCTTAAATATAGCAATCCAGAAACAGTGATAAACAGTGCAGCAACATTGAAAGAAAGATGTGGATGAACACTTGCACAAACAGCAAATATGAGATGAAATCAAAAGTATGAAAAATCCAGATGTTGCTGTAATTGTTTAGCTAGATGCATAATATTGACAAATCCAATGTAGATAATGTTTTAAAAAGGTCGACAGCTTGCAATCCCTGTTCACAAACCTGGATACCTTGTGTTATCGAGCACAATCACAGTCATACAGCATGGAAACAGATCCTTCGGTCAAGCTCTTTAATCTCAACAATTAACATTGGAAATACTTTGTAGAATTTAAAATGCTCTTATTTGCTAATTGACTTAAAATAATTGTAGGAAATCAGGACTGAACAAGAGAGCACAAGTGAAGGCGATGCCAAATAATAATGTCAGTTGATAGTGGGTAAAGGGAAGACAGCAGGGCGAAAATCAAGTGGAACTGCAGAACAAGACAGTTGAATATCACAAAAACAAGAACAATGATGTGGTAACAAAATGTGGAGCTGGAGGAACGGAGCTGGAGGAACACAGCAGGCCAGGCAGCATCAGGTAAAAAGGGTCCTGACTCGAAACGTCAACTTGCCTGCTGTGTTCCTCCAGCACCACACTTTGTTATCTCTGACTCCAAAATCTGCTGTTCTTGCTATCTCGGAATAGTGTAGTAAACGTTTGGTTTCTTCTGCAGGTGACAGCTTTCGTTGAGAATATGTACTGAAATGACTGGTAGGAAGGGTCTGTAAAGTGGAAGCAGGATGAGAAAGGAGTAAGGTGATTTGGCAAGAGAAAGCATATGCATGCAGGAAATTTGAATGGGCCCTTCTAGTGAATTGAATTGGGTCTGGGTATGTGCGTGGTTAAATTCCCTAAAGGCCTTATCTGTTCTTTCTCATCTTGAGATTGGACCTCCTTGCCGCCAGCCTTCACTTCAGCATGGGAGCAGCTTCTGCAGCTCCGACTTGCACTTAAATGAAAAACAAGAGGAGAGACAACATCAGCAGCTTAACAGAGCAACTCTAGCACCAACAACAACCTCCTTAGTTAGAGATAACAGGTATAGAGCTGGATGAACACAGCAGGCCAAGCAGCATCAAAGGAGCAGGAAAGTTGATGTTTCGGGCCTAGACCCTTCTTCAAAAAACCTCCTTAGTCAAATGTCTTTCCACAGAGCAGAGTAGGTGGACACTGAGATCCAACTCCCTAAAAGACAAGACCTGTAACACATGGTGTGCTAGCAAAGCATCAATTCTCTTGACGCATGTGAGCACAAGTGCCTCGAGATTCAGCTTTTTATAGCAGGTCATTGCTGACATCTGTAGTTGCCTGGATCGAGACCAGATTCCCAGTGGGTCAGGTGGACCTGCTTTACCAGTGGCTGTGTCAAGCTACCCATCACTGGAGGGACATCCCTTGCCTCTTGGGCCTCTGCCCCACCTCAAGGTTGTGTGCTGTATTCTGAAAGGAATGAACTCAGAGTTATGAGAGTTAGT